GGAAGCAAAACTCTAATCTGCATCTTAGTTACAAAAACTGGACACAGATCTTCCCCCGAACGAGTCCTCCTGGAGATTCATTGCCTCCAATCATTCGTCGGTCAAATAAAAGCAAATGTTACAAAGTGGCCCCGCGAATTCCGCAATAGAATTCCATTTTTCAATCGACGCGAAGCGAAATTCTACGAACAACACAAACTACTCGCGTGCCTCCCGATCAGTAGTATTACCGTTACATTACTATACTTGACCTTCGTGCCTATGGGGAAAGTTCTGACCTTTCTACCTGCCGTTTTCTGCCTAGTCCTTTCCTGAACAGCGGGCAAATTTTCTCGAGCTCTGTTTCTTTCTTCCTCTAGCTCCTCCGGAGACAAGCGTGTTGCCTGTCACAACCCAATTTCCTGATCAAGCGGAACGCGCGGATGTCTACCGTACATTAACATAAACGGGGACTTGCTTCCCGATCATTAGTATCACCGTTACACTACTACAGGTGTGACTGAACATAGAAAGCATTCTGAATTGACTTAAATTGGGTAATGGATATAGCGGGAATAACCAACGGATAAAACTTAGTCCGTGCACCGATTTCCTGAAATGAGAAATCCTGCTTCCTGGGCAAACTGTAACCTCCGATCTTGAAAACTTCGTTAGCATGTGGCACCGTGTGGTTGTTTGGTCAACAAAGAAAAACCTTGCAGACAAACATCGTCCATTAGGGTGTGATAAGGACGTGTACCTCTTGATTGGCAAAATAACCAAGGAGAAGGAGTTCAAGCGCCTCGAGACTCGTTCCATCTTCAGCATATTTAGGACTATCCACCTCGTGGCAGCTCATTGGATGTGCACAACGAGGATAATGAAAAAAAATAATAATTAGCTGGCGTACTTAGGAAGTGGGCAGGCTTGACACCCACATTGCATCTGGAAGTCCATTTTTGCAAAATGGAGGAAGTCGCGTCTAATCTTCCGAAGAACAGTGAGTATCTTTCGAGCCACTTTTGTGCAGTCGTGATGAAGTGCCCCAAGAGGACCAGACACATAAACCCCCCTGCATATCGTCTTGGAATATATCATGGTTCTATCTCAATGTGTGCTTTCTTGGTTCTCTCGAACACCATAGGGCACATGTTTAGTCATTTTGAGGGAAACGCCAGGCTGTCGGCCAGCAAGACCAATAGGCGCGTAGCGGTAAGCAATCGTCAGACTTGTAAGTGGCGAGGCAATGGCTTTTTCCCAAGCAGCTGGAGGATTGCCCTCATCTAACCACTGTAGAAACATCAGAAAGGAATATTTTTCCAATCTTAGCAACGTTCCTCTCAGGGTCCTTTGATGGACTTCATCTGACCCCAACGCGCTGACATCCTCCGCAATAACCTGTTTGGTTATGGACGGTTCGTAGTCCAGCCTCGTCAAGATTGGATGTGATGAAAACAACTGTGCTAAGTGCGGGTTTACATTATGCAATATGCAGGCTTGTAACATCAATATCTGGTCATTACTGGGGTCCCCAACTCGGCGCTGCCTCGTGCTTTTAAATAGTACTTTTCAGGGGGAAGACTGGTAGTGTGGCACGTTTGTGTATGTCTCGTTAACGAAGTCCCCATTTGTAACGCCCTGGTATCTCCCGAATTTTCAGCTCTACTTCTAGGCTTCCTGTAGTTTTTTGTCTGAGGAATACTTGAGACACCATTCCCGGTAAACACCAAACCCTTCCGGATAGTTCACCGTGTGGTCCTGTGTGGCTCGTCTACTAAAGCTGGTCATAGACGAAGTTGGCCAAGGAAGATAGACATCCGTTTGCAGTCTGTGTGGCAGACATTTCTATTCCACTTTTGAATTTCCGAGTTCCTGGCCCAGTAAGAGACGAAAACAAAAGCCAACATACAGTGGTGATCAAATCCCAGGGACTTTATTTATCACATGATCATGAGGTGTCTTTCGTTGGTGGTATCGAAAAGCAGCAGGGAAGGTAGTTAGACTGTGTCCTACCTGATGAACGAATGGACGTGCTGAATCCAGGCACCCTGGTGAACGGCTTTAGTCAGCGACGATGCAAACCAGCCATTAAACCAGGCGCTCTGGAACCCCATTCAGATGGTCTTGGGAGTGGTGAAGTCACACATCTATAAACGATGCGTAAATGATAGCTAAGGATTACTAAAAAAATGTACAAAGAACGGACCGTCTTCCGGCGGGCCTAACGAGTAAGGCAGATGGCGCTGAAAAGAAGGGGGTGGGGCCACATTGTGTAGTTTGAATCCGAAATGCATCGCAAAATGTTGCAGTTGCGTCGAAGCAAGTAATCCAGATGGGCAGGGACGCATTTCAGTACGAGGAGTCCCGACCTGCCCTCCCATCTGTCGTGTCAATTTAAAGTTGGGTAAAAAATTTGCCAAGATTTCTGCGCCAGGGACACCTGGTCTGAAGCAACTCCCTACAAGTGTGATTAGACACGGTCATTGTATGATAGACAACTGATAAATATTGACAAGCTTGCTAAAATGGCTGGAGCACGCGAAATTGGGCAGTCAGAGAAGTGATGCGACACTAGTGAGGTTAGCAGATTTGGTATTTCCACGCTGGATCTCGTTTTACGGCTTTAACCCAGCCCCGCGGTGCACATGTTGGATTTGTGTTCATCTCTCAGAGGATTTTTATGGCTGTGTGGGATTTTTTCTGAAAGAGATAGTTTACAATCCACAAGTTGGGAATTTCTATGGTTGATGAGTAGAGAGCTATAGTTTGGACATCTTAATTAACCGTTACTCGGAAAGTCGCAAAGTGATTTCATTGGCTTTGTTTGGACTCTGGGCAGAATGCGGCAGTTAAGGTGTCTGTGAAGCCATATAGGGTTGCCTGGCTGTTGGATGAAATACATGGTAGTGACACTCTAGAGGAGCTCAGTTACCTAGTCGACTCCACCATGAATTTGGCGAGCAGTTCCCCGTTTCTTAACCTGGCTAAAGCGGCTACTGCCATGTGTTTTCATTGATCCATGGTTTGTCGGCGGTCAGCGCAGCCAACGCGATATACGTGTGATTTTTAGGCACATTGTTGTCGAATTAATAGTCCGACTCCCGAAGCCAAGAGTGGTGGCTACGTCCAAGGTTTTACGGGCTGCTTTACGGACGTGGAACCGGATGAACGTTGTTTCGCATTCTTGTATTATTATTCCGCTAATTTCTTTGAAGTAGCCTCCTAATGGCATAGAATCCTCGAAGACGCTATGCCCGGAGTTTCTGACTCTGCAACCACCCTCGCCGTGGAATTCAACTAAGAATGGTGTGAACAACTGTGACCGGAAGATTATTGCACGCACAAACTTCCCGAACTGAGAAACCTGTGGCCTTGCAAACATGCGCTTTATAAGGTTGAAAAGTTTTGTCTTGCCGTTAATATCTTTATAAGATTATTGGTAGAAGATCTACTTGGTCAGATGTTGTAAGGGTAAAGCATGGGCAGGTATGTGCGGCTTTGGAGATAAAAACAGCCTGTGGAAAAATGATCAAAGATTGCAGACTTATTTGTTCGCCGAAGAATTCAAGGCCAGCAAAAGTTTTCGTAGCTGAGTGCCGGAACAGCGTTCGCCAACCAGGACAACCAGGATGTCCTTTCCAATATGTTTGTGCCATGGAATATCACGTTTTGGAAGCTCGAGTTTTAACCTTTTTGATGTTCGTTGATCGTTAGCATTTTAGACTCATTGTTTTAGTTTATTTAAAACGTACTTGAATGTTTTGAATGTATTGGCTGTGTTCTCAACGCATTGTCACGCAGGTAGCCTCGCTTGTTCGGCAAGTGGGCCTCGGACGATGCTAGACTCATTGTTTTAGTTTATTTAAAACGTACTTGAATGTTTTGAATGTATTGGCTGTGTTCTCAACGCATTGTCACGCAGGTAGCCTCGCTTGTTCGGCAAGTGGGCCTGTTACGGAGGATGCAGCTTCGAAGGTGATGTGATAACTGAAGCCAACACAGTACTCACAAGCGAGATTTGATTTTACCAACTTGCGCATCACAAGGTGTATTACTAGCGTTCGGGCGGCGCAGGTGTCAGACCACGAATCCAAATCGATTAAGGGTCGGATGACCACTGATTGTTACACCTCCGGCATCTTATATCTATAGATGAAATCGAGTGAAAGCAGAGAAGCTACGGCCGGGTGGCCGGGAAAATGGCTTTTGGTGAAGGAGAATGTGTCCCATACCTTAATCCGGGCTAGTACGTTTTGAAAGAACACTACACACGCTGGGCTATTGCTTGACGAGTAATTATTTTCTTTTTCCATTTCCGGCTAGGAAAACCCGTGTGTAGGGAACCGTACACGTCACAGGGAAACGGCGACTTCCACAAAAGCTTTGGCTGCCGTCGCTGGTGTACAAATGAATATGGTTATAAAACCTGGGGCATCGGTGTTTCTCTTTGGTGATTCTGTCACTAATAAACAAACTGAACCATCTCGGAGGCTCACAAATAGCTTGAACCCATGTATCGCGCACATATTCCTAGCCATCAGCAGCGACGCTTTGTTAAAACATTACTCTTGAAGTCTAGGATGGTGCCATAGTCTCCCGTGGTAACCCTCTGGCTGTCCCTTATTTGCAGACCAAAAAGCAAAGAAAGGCTGAGGCCTTAGCGAACAAACAATCAAAAATTTCCCCGCTGCCATAGAATAAATTATCATCCTTATTATTATTCATTATTATTATTATCATTGTTTGCAACATTCTTTGGGGATTTAGCCTTATTATTGAAATGGAAGGTTCGAACAAAGTAACACGTTTGTAGGGCTGATGTTTCTGCGTGAAAGCCTCAATGGCTGATCCCTGATGTTGGCGTTTAATGCGATCCGAATGTCTGATACCGTACAACTAAATTTTCTCGCGCACACCGTTTCCGATGAAACAAATTAAAACCATGGATACATCTCAAGCTTTTTTCCAGTAGTTACACGCATGCAGTGTTCCCCGTACGCTGTCACCTGAAGGAATTTTAATGTGACCAGTGATCAATTAAATCACAGCCGGCTTGAACACTGGTTCCCCTTAAAAAACCACCAAATCCCGGGCCGCAGCCTATTTATAGCGTGTTGTGCACGCGATCCTACACAGTCTCGAGCTCGTACCGTAGTGGAAGTGTTTCCATTGAGGGCGAATGTAGTGCAGTGGTGGGATACTTGGCACGGAAGAACAATTTCGTTGCCTGGGAGTGCAAAGGATAGGTACCCTGGCAAAGCAATATCGTATAAAAAGTTTCATAAAAAGTCTGCATTGTACGCCACGTTTGTCTTTTTTGTTCGGTAAGTAAAACTGTGTCAGCATAGCTCAAAAGAGCACTGTTTTAATGCTTTTACTGTGTTGCCAAGATACGGGGAGTTAAAAGGACAGAATTCAATAATATTGTCCGACAAATTGGCGTACTTGGACTTTGAGGTTTGGGGATGAGATGTCTTGGAAATTATTTTTATTTCGGACTCCTACAAATATATATCTATGGAACGATGTTGTGAACGTGCAAGGATTTGACCAGGTAATTTGCATCGTTCTGTCCCCCATTTCATTCTTTGAAGACACTGTACCAAGATATTGCACCCCCCTCCAAGAATAGAATAGGTTAAGTTCCTATCATCCATACTATAAAACCCCACAGAGAGACGCCTCAAAGTCAAGATATTAAGACCCTGCCCCATTGGCGTGGCTGGCCGAGCCTGAACACCCATCTTTGTTCCCTTGTTTGTGCAAACTAACACTTGAGGCAGGGCCCCACTGAATAACAGTTTTCGTCTCGCCTTTCCGGAGAGTTCTCAGACATGGATGGGCGTTTCTAATCTCAGGGCCGACGCACGCACTTACGAAAACAAACTAACTCCCATCAGGTGTCCCAACCCGTCGAACTTCCTCCTTGCAATGATGCAGCAAGTGATTTAAGGACCTGAAAAATGCGTCTGCGATTAACAAATCAACAATACGTGGGATGATGACATCAGATTCCTGTTTAGGGTGCAATTAACGGATTGAGTTGGAGCACGCGAACTCCATCATCTGATGGATCCGCTTTCTCGATAACTTTTCAAGAAGAAACAATGCGCTGCCTAACACTGCCGCACTTCGGGAGTGAAGCCGATGCTGAACAACTGCTGGAATCACGGATAATCATCAGTTACATACACCAACTCCTTCCCGCTGACGGTCAAGCAGCTAGCCATCGAGCGCAGAAGCAAGCTGCCAGTGGTGACTTCTGACCATCCATAAGTCTGGATGGTTAACGCTGGACGACCGAACGCCTTTGCCTTCAGCATTCTAACCAGGATAAGTGTATTGCGTACTCTTCGCCCTGTACAAGCACTCCCCCGTCCGCCCTCACCCTCCGAAACAATGACGATGTATCCTGATGTGTTGCGCTACATGTGCTCAACACAAAGTGCCCTCCGGAACTTATTTAGAATCATACCAAATGTGGTTTCATTTTTATCCATATCAGTCTTGCCGTTGCTGTGGATGACGGGGTATCCTCATACTCCGGACACTGCTCACTGATATTCGCCTTAATTTTCACCACCCTGGGCATGATTTGTTCAAATACTCCGTCCTTATGGTGATATACCGCTTAAAACCACAGATAACCTCCATTTGGCCCCAACTCTGCACATCAGTTGAGGCATGGTCGGATCGTTACGATGTGAACATGTTGGGTGATACTGGAATAATGGGAAGACAGAGCCAATGAGATACGCTATTCACGGGAACAGGAATTGTAACTGTGGAAATACTAGAATACGAAGGCCAGTTGATCTGAACCAAAACTGATAACCTTTACTGACGGTGGGCGGCCTTGGACAGGGTAAAAAGCGTAAGTGAAGTTGATAGGATGGATAAATTCGCGGTAGCGATAAATGTTTAACTGAATCTCAGAGGTGTGGCATTCAGTGAACCTGAACAGACTCAACGGTTGTGCAGTTGGAGGGGAGCAGATGAAGGTTTTTCAGAGGTTGTTAGTTCACCTTTAGTTATAGTGACTTCCTTAATTACACCAAAAATCTAACTCTTGATGTGTCGGATGCTGTAGCTCCCAAGCCTTGTACAGAGACTGCACTTCATGTTGACAGCGTCAGCTCTTTCTCCAGCCCCCTTCACTTACCTACGCCATGTTCTTCCCTTCCCACAAGTGCTTCCTCGGACGCAAATATTTACCGTCATGTCCGTGCATCGTACCGTCCTCCTCCATACAAAACCCCCGAACGCCAACTCCCGTTGTTCCGTCTGCCCACTCTGAGTTTTGCATAAGCGCGCCAGAATTTCCCCGATCTATTCAATCCGAGCACATGGTAGAATCCGGACGCGCACTTGACATTGCTCATCCCTACCAAATTCCGCCTAACCCTCTACTCACATACAATTTAAGTGAACTTCCTCGCTGACGGTTACTTAGTCCTT